TAGAAAAAAGTATTCTTGCATTGAGGGAGTACTTGAGTGGAGGCCCAATGCTGGGACTTTCTTTTAGGCAAGATGAAAATGTTCTCCCTTGGATTGTGATGATTAAAACAATTTTGTGATATGAAAATCCAACTAATTATTCACCCACGTTCACAGATTGTATGGTATCTGGGTTATATTTTTTAAAGGCTGCTATTTAAATAAAGAAAAATAATAGAGTTTTGTGTGTTTTTCACCATGTTTCCCCTAATATTACCATTTTTATCACTATAGCACAAGTTCAGTATCCCGGTAATACTTTGGGTTAAGCCTAGGCCTGTTAACTGCAAGCTCAACCCACTAATCACTGCACTGGAGTCTCAAAAATCTTACTCTGTCATACAGAGCTGCTCTGAGTTGTAACTGACGTGATGACACTCAGTGATGGCTCAGTTAATTAAAAGTAAACAATTCGCCCTGGTGCAATAATACTAAGCTACAGATGATGTTCAGATGTCACCAGATTTCCAACTAAGGCTCTTTGTCTTAGCCATAATCTCATGTTACATTTAGTTCTGTGGGAATGTTTGGTGTTGCTTTATCACACGTACTGGGGATATTACCCTCGATTTCTTGGTTAAAGTATTGTGTGACATATGTTTTCCATAGCAAGTTATTATTTTTTTATATTAGTAATTAGTAAGAATCTTGGGGGGGATCCTTATTTGCGTTCAACAATTACAGTACTGTCCCTCAAGGGTGGTGGCTTTATATCAGAGTTAACATTCCAATGCCCAGCCTTCTGTTGGCAATCAGTCCTATCTTCTCTTTCCCTGTGGGCATTTAAAGCCCTACTGTTCGGTTATGACAACTGACACCATCCTCACAAGACCTGTGGGCTCATTACAAGTATTCTTCTCTTTGCTTCTGGTACTTCTGCTTCTTTTCAGTTCAGCTCCACTTTTAGTGATTTAAAAAAATATGTTATCAGCCATTTCAGATGTGATCCATCACTGTTTTCTTGGAAAACAGACGGTCATTGGATGATGAACAGTGAAGGCAGAACAAGACAATAAGGTCAGGGCCATGAACTTGGCTAATTTGGTATAGTTCAACACACAACACCCATCAAAAGGCTTGTGGATCAGATCCACAGACTGTGGGAGAGTGTCATAGCAAGATAGTAATAGGTTGAATTCAAAGCAGATCAGGTCTAGACTAGCCCAGGATTGGGAAGGTCAGAGTCTACGTTGTTGCTGTGGCTCTGCCTTGCTCACAATTAAGGTCATGGTTCATGGCTGGGATCCTTCAGGATGACATCACAGTCCTCATATAAAGGACCACTTCAGGGCAATGAATGTCCAAATGCGCTTTACGCAATTGATGTGTGTATGGATTGTGATAAGAGTTGTATGAGCCCCTAATAAAATGATTTTTAAAAAAAGGACCACTTCAAATACTGATTTTCAACCTTTTAGAAAGATTGCTTGTTTTTAATTTTTCTAACCCCAGAGACTACTAATACGATACAGCCTGTTTCCCCCATCTTCCTTGGGAAGGTTAGGGTCTTTTTGTACTTTTGCAACTGGCAGCCAGGAATCTTTTCAGAGACCTACAAAGTACAACAGAACACTTTTTCACACTTGGGAGGCCATACTTCCTCATAGAATCTCACTTTATAGAAATATTCCAATGATGAAACTGAAATTTGTTAACCAACCTCATTTCTGCACTCAAAACCATTTTTCTTTTCTTCTTCCTACAGGACATCTCTCTTTAGATGTCTTTCCAGCAACTGAGATTATACATATCTTAAATTGAGTTTATCATCTCCATCACCATCTCCTTTAATGGACTTCTTTAACTTTCATTCTTCGTGTGCTGTTCCTATCCACCCAGGTCTCCAGGACAAATAATTTCACTGGCCTGGGAATGGCCTATGTTCTTTCCATTTGTTCTTTTTGATCTCAGAATTACTATTGCTTGGTGTGCCCGTGCTATCGGTTATTGATAAGTACTCATAATCCATTGTGTCCCTAACCATACAGGTAAGTAGGGAAAGAGAAGTGCAGATCAGGATCATTCTCCTTAAAGGACTTAATATCTAGTTGTAGAGACAAGTTACATATACCAGAAATAGTGAACAAGACCAGACAGTATATAATTAAATGCTAAATTGGGTAGCACAGACATCTAATTATAAGAAATTGGAGGGAAGGAAAGGATAAGATGAGGGCCTGAATTTTTAGAGAATAGTTAATGAGGATGTCGTATTTAAAGGAGGTGTGAAACAGCATAGGTTGGAACCGCATGGGCATGTTAAGAAAACATGGACTGTTAACAAGTGCAATGAGCAAGCAAAAGACTTTTTGAGAACTTTACAGGCTTTGTACGCGTTAGAGTAATGAGTAAAACAGTACAGAATAGGATTGGAGGAAGAGGCTAGATGACTGCTTCTTTCAAGTCTTTGGCTTTTATTTCCTTTGTCCCCTGATTCATGAGTCTAAAGGCTGCGTTTGCCTTTTGCTTCTAGTCCACACTGCGTGAGTGTTCCTGGCCACTGAGTGGTCCCCCAGCCTTTGTCCCCTGGCACTCATGCTTTTGTGTGACAATCACATGCTTTTTGTTTTGTCTTGTTTTGACCCATTGTTTCCATTCACCTATGGCATCTTTGTCTGCTGTTTGCCCCTCTGTTCTCCAAGTCCCATCTCCAGACTGACCACTACTTGATACTCTCTCCCCCCTCTGTCATATGTATTTTTCTGCATAGATTCCCCTCAAATAGTTTCTGTTGAAAATATTTTAAAATATAAGTATTTATCCCGGTCTGCCTTGCCCCCAATAATTTAGCATTATGTATATATTTCACTTCCCATTCAATAAGGTGGTAAGTTTTTAAGGCATTAGGGTCATGTTTTATAAGTGATTGTCCCTCAAAGTCCGATGTACCACTCTGTACGTGTATGTATACAAATTGTTAAGTGGGAAGCCGGTTTGCTAGGTCAACTTTCCCCAAACCACAACAAAATGTTTATATATATACATATATAAAAGGAATACTCTTTCTTCTATCTTTTCCTTTGAGTCTCTCCTTAATCTGTGTTCTTAAATCTATATAAATTCATTAAAATTTTATCCCTTTCTACATACTCACCCATGTCATTTTACTGAATAAATATTTTTACAAATATTTTACTTATATTTGTAGATGGAGATAAATTGTGTGTGTTTAAAGGAGCTTAAAGAACATTAGAGAAAATACTAGAGTATTGTAGAAAAATAATTCTTGTTGAACTATCCAACTGATCTGACACCCAGGTAAATTTTAATAATTTAAAATGTTAATCAAACATCTATCAGTGGAGAGAGCATCTGTTGTAGTGGGAATTAAGCTTACAAAGACATTTCAATATCCTTAAATCCAGACCTTCACGCAAACAAAGAATATTTAATTTCAGCACATTCCAAAAAATAAAACAAAACCCAAACAAAAAACCTGACTGCCACGGAATCAATGCTCATAGTAATCCCCTGTGGGTTTTCACAACTGTATCTGTTAATAGGATACAGTCCAATCATTCTCTCGCAGAGCTGCTGGTGGTTTTGAACTGTTGACCATATGGATCTCAGCCCAATGGGTAACCATTATGCCACCAGGGATCTTAGGTTAAGTTAAAACGAGATTATATTGGGGGGAGGAGGGGTCAGGCGGCTTTACCTTTATTTTATTATTTAACTTCTTTAAAGATATCTAAAGTACTTTAAATATACTATCTCAAATTATAATTTTAAGTAACACAATTACGTTCCTGTCTCCTTTAAAAGCTTTTAAGGTGGTTTTATGAGTGCTGGAGTTATACATACTAACATTCTCACTTTCTGAATAGTGATAAAACCCAGTTTTAGCTGGGTTGAGAAAAGTACAAGAACTGTGGAGTCCAGTTTTAGCATTGTTCTAGAATTATCTCACCCTTCAGAGAATGTTTCTTGGACAATGTATAAAGTAATCTGGAAATCAATTTGTAGGTCTTTAGATAGGGCCGGGAGGAGTGCAGAGAGGTGGGGAGGGAGGGAGGGAACCAAGGGGGATAGAGAAGGGATGAAAGAGAATTTCTTTGTTTAACCAGAGTAATGCGGTCACAAAACAAGCAAACAAGAAAACATATTGTTGAGAACGAGGGGGACTGGATCAGACCCAAAATCCGTGTGTAGACAATAGGACATCCCCTCACAGAAGAGTCACAAGGAAGGGATGAGTCAACTAGGGCACTGTATAGCACCGGTGAAACACACACTATTCCTCTGGTTCTTTGAGGTTTCCTCACCCCCCACTATCATGACCCCCGTCCTGTCTTTTACTGTGGGTCAGGCCAGAGCATGTGGTACAGATAAGAGCTCACAACACATGGAATCCAGGTCAGATAAATCCCTCAGGAACAGAAATGGGAGTATCAATATCAGGAGGGTAGGGGTAAGGTGGTGAGAGGAGGAAGGGGGAACCTGTCGCAATGACAGACACAAAACCACATACCACCCCCTCACATAAGGGGAGGAAAAACAAACTGTGGGGGAAGGGAGACAGATATGAAAATAATAATAGATGTGAGGGGGGGAGGAAAGAAAAAAGGAGGAGCTGATAGCAAGGATTCAATTAGAAAGTAAATGTTTAGAAAATAATGATGGCAACAAATGTACAAATATGCTTGATACAATTGATGTATGGAGTGTTACAAGAGCTTTAAGAGCCCCTAATAAAATGATCTTTAAATAAATAAAAACTACCCCCCACAAAAAAAAAGTTATGTGGTCAAAAAGCAATTTTGTGAGGCAGGCTGAATCTTCTTCAGCAGTTTGTAGTTGTTTGAGTAATTTCTTCTAAGGGTGGCACTTTATCAATCTTTAACTTCTAGGAATGGTCTCTTTTTAAGCTCCTTGATAATGTAAGGCAAAGTACCTCAACTAAAGACTCTTTGCAAGTTGGGATTTCTTTCAGGATTGGCACTTTTTAATTTGCTTTGCAGGTTGTTTGCATTCGCTCGACTTGGAACGCTCTCTCCCCAAAGCTGAGCTGTGACACCAGACCCCTCATTGTGAAGACCCTCAGTGAACTGTTTTCTCTGGTTCCCTCCTTGACAGTCAATACAGTTGAATATGAGGTACGTATGGGGAGCCCAACGAGTTCCCTATTTCCATATTGGAGAGGTGTGTATGATGGAATCACTTTCAGAGTAACTATAATCTGTTTTATTTTTGTTCTGAGAACATGCTGGTACCTTCATGGGCTGTTTGGAGTAGAAGGATATCTGCCCTTTGCAATACCAAGTGTTCTCACTTCCCAAACAGCAATTATAATGATGACGTGCTAAAATAACACTATGATATGTGTTATAATCGTTATGGTGGTGATTTTTAAAAGTCAGTATGTGCCCGGTAGTAAAGATGTATTTCTATTTGTGCTTTACGAGTAGTTTTTCCATAGAGTTTGGATTTTACATGTTCATTTACATTTTCTTAATATTATCTATAATATCAAATATTATAAGACCATTGTAAAATATATCTTAGGAGAAAGAAATAATTTGAAGCTTTACTCAGTACTTGTCATTAAAGTGTGCTGAAAAGCTTAATGAAAGAGTCTTTTCTGTAAATTTATAGCTTCCTGATTAATATTTATTGTAATGTCTCTTGTTCAAGTGACATGACGAGCCAGCAAGCAGTGAATTACATTTATGCACCTACCTTTATAAGCCATATTCTCTAACACACTTATCTCTCTTCTTACCATTTCTTCAAAGAGCAGCAATTCATTTTCACTTGCAGTCTTAGTGAACTTTAAGTGTCACTTATTGCTTCATAGACTGATAATCTACTGCTTCACAATAATAGTCCCTTATATGTTTTGGATCATAGGATCAGGTTGGATTTTAGGATAGTGCTTATAGCGTTAAGTGCTGCACACTGAATAAAATCAAGTCCATCCTTAATGAGGATACAATACCCAGCACAGTGCCTGGTACATTCTATGAGGGGCTTCAAAACATTCACAGGAAATTTTCATTATCTTTTAATTCCATTTTCCTACAAACTTGTGGGTGTTCCCTTGTATATATTTCTTCATTGTGGAATAAAGAAATGAAGGAACAGAGAGTATTGTGAGGTCCACTTATTCATTAAACAAATATTAATTGAATATCTGCAATGTACCAGGCATGTAACTTGACCAAGATTATAACTACTGTATATACTCATGTATAAGTCAAGTTTTTCAGCACAATTTTAATGCAGCTTTTGTGGTAAAATTGGGTGCCTCGGCTGATATTTGGGTCAGCTTACACTAGAGTATATACGGCACTCAATGGAGAACTGGTGTCTGAACCCAGAACTTCCCACCTTCATTGTCGACATTTTTCTATCACACCATGTTGTCCATCCCTTCTTTCCAGAAGCTCGAAGGTTAGTAAAAGAGATGCAATGACAATTAAAATAATACTTGATGAGTATAGTTAATCAAAGGAGGGTGGTAGTAAAAGTTATCAGTATTCTTGGAAGAATCTGATGAAACTTTTAGTTGGTACTCTTTGACTTGGTCTGTGAAGAATTAGTAAAATGCTGCGTCCCTTTGAAATTTGGGGAACTGGAATGTGCAAGGGCTACAGAAGAACGCGGCATGGTTTGGAAGGACAGAACGTTAGACATGCCTGAACTGAAGTCGACACCGAGTCTGGACGGCAACAGGCTTTATCGGCTCAGCAATCCTCTGAGCTGTGTGTCATCTTTGAGGAGCATTTCTTGGTTCTGTGGCATGGGCATTCAAAATGAAAAAAACATAGTCATTAGCCTAAAGAGTGGACAGCCCAGCAGCCAGACACACACACACACACACACACACACACACACACACACACACACACGCATACTAGATGTTAACGTGCGCCGTGACTTTGACTGCTTAGAGCAGAGAGAGCAGTGGCCTGAATGAGACTTGTGGATTTGTACTCAGACCTGAGGAAATCAGTAAGACATGGGTACACTTAGAAATGTAATACGTTTAACATCTCCATATGTTAAATATTTTCGCATTATAACTAATGGGTAAATACATATTCGGGGTCAGTTATTGGTGGTATAATTTTTAGGTGACTGACTAATTAAAAGTGCTTATTCATTCAATTTTAACTTTGTGTTCAAAGTGTTTTCTGTTCTTTACTGACTTTTCAGAATTTTAAGATTCAAGCCCTCAGCTTCCTCTGGAATCACACTCAAAACAAGGTACTGTCACGTGGTGGGTCAACGACACACATCAAAGCTAGCAAGGGCATTGTAAAGTGACACTCTTATGATCAAAGATATTGCTCCTTTGAAATGATTGATTCCGGATTTTTAAACCGTCATGACTATTAATATGCTTAGGTTTAAAAATTATCCTGTTTATTCGTATTAGTAATTTTTTACATAAAGTGAACTTAAAATTTCATGAATCTTACAAATGTGAAGAACAGTTGCCATTGACCTCAAATGGCCCTTCCCCTTCAAGGTTTTAATCCCTTCCCAGAGTCACAAGCATGCTGACCAAAAATATAAACACACCCAAACATTTCAGTCCATTTATTTTGTTTTGCCTTCAAGGTTTGGTGCGCCATGGTGGGGTCTGCACGCACATTCCCAATTTTGTGGAGACATTTCTTATGTGCCTTTTCCAATCAAGCAGTACAGAGAAGGAGTGTAGGTAGCACTATTCCGAACCCAGAGAGGGCAGAGCTTAAATCCCAGAAGACTGACATGCCCAGTTAGCAGGTGGAGAATCAGAGATGGAACTCAGGCCTGTCAGACTCCTGACCATCACACTCCTTCCATTTTCCACCTTATCATATGCGGACCTGCACACTTATAATTTGTTTTATGTTTAATGCCCTCGGATAAAAGTCATAGCACTTCTGATCCTCTGCCCAGTGGCATTGTCTTACTGGTAACAAGCACATGCTGTCCAGAAAAATCTTTAGTGCAAATAGTTTTCCCATTTGTTCTTATTTTTCTTGTCAGGCCCTTTCACAGCTTCCTTCATATTTGCTTTAGAAATGAGACTCCACTTTCTTAATCTCTTTCCTGAAATTGTAGGTATATATCCTCTTGACCCATGCAGGCTTAAATGTCATTCTGAAAGCACTCATTGGAAAACCTGGGCACTGGTGAGGGAAGGCTATCTTTCTCTAGGCTTGATATTTATTCCATGATTGTTCATTTGTTTGTTTATGTTTCCTTCACCCCCATCCAGGACCCAGTTGTAGCACATGCCGCATATAAGTCTTTGTCGAACTTTCGGGCAGGGGAACACACCATTCTTCATCTGCCTGAAAAGGTAGGCATTTCTTCGTTCTCAGTGCTATATCTTACTGGCAGATCTCACAACTTTATTTGAATCCCCTCTCTCAGGAGATCCTTCCTGCTCATTATGTAGTTCTAGATATGCTGTCCACAAAGGGTAAGTGTTTGTATTCCTGAATTTTTGATCTGCAAAAGACTGTAGCGGTCTTAGTCATCGCAGATAGTGAATTTAAATCTTTGGGGCAGATGGCAGGTACGTTTGGTGCTTTGCAGGCTCCTTAATGTGCCTCGGTGTCTGGCTGCGTCCCTGCACTAGTGGCTTGTCCAAAAAGGCTGTGCCACTTTAGGAACCCCTTTGCCAAGTCAGCACACCCTGATGACCTTCAAATCCAAGCCTGGCCTGCATGGACTAACATTTTATACCACCTGTGCAGCAAGGGATCTGTGTATGTGAGGAGGAATTGAGATGTCGCAGTGTGAAATAGTGCATACCCCCAAAACACACACGTGCTGCCAAAGAGTCTGTTCTGACTCACAGGGTCCCTGGCTAACACGGGTGGGGAACCTTTTTTTTTTCTGCCAAGGCCAATTTGGATATTTATAACATCATTTGTGGACCATAGAAAATTATCAGCTTAAAAATTATCTTGCTGTATTTGGTCAAAAATGTAATGAACTCACCCCTAATGTGATGGCTGGCATTGCTTCTCTTTGGTGAGGAGTGTGGAATGAATGCTTCTGTGGACCTTATGTGGCACACGGGCTGGATGGTCCCCATCCCTGCTGTTCCTGGGTCTTTCCAGGAACAGACAACCTCACCTTTCTCCCGTGGAAATGCAATGGGTTTGAAGCACTGACTTTGCAATTAGCAGCCCGTTACCTGCCTCACAATACCTTCAGTGCTCCTTCAAATGAGACACTTGTTCGCCACGAAGAACTGGATCGAGAAAGTATAGCCGTCTTCTCAGAGGTAGTGCTTGATAGGACATGATCTTGAATTTTGACTAAACTAAAAACGTGCAGTAATTTCTCTCATCTCAGACAAGTAGGTAAATGTCTGCTGTTGCATTTAGTGTCACTGCCAGCTCAAGTGCATACAGATGTTAATGAAATGCCTTTAGTATGGATGTTATGTGTCCTGTGACTCACTATTAGCCCTTGAGGTGCAGTGGCAGCAAGGGTCGGCATGCATTCCTAGGGATAATTCCTGGATGTACAGACATTAAAATGGATTTGATTTTTTTTTTCTTTCTGGATTGAATTTTATACAGAGATTAGATGCCAGTAGGAACCAGGCAAACTTCTTCTCTTGGAAACTAAAGACAAATAAAGGAGACTAAAGACAAGCTCTTGTAAAACCAACTCTTAAATTACACAAGATTTCTCAACTGTTGGAGGGCTCATAAAATTGGATTGTTCAGAGTGGATGCATTTTCACAAATGAGAATGTTTACAAAAAGATGTTCTGTGACCCATAAAATAAAAAGATGAGACTTCGCACTATGCTCCAGTAACTGGAAATATAGATAGCAGCTAAGGAAGAAATAACTCTACACTTAAGTTTAGTATTAAAACTCTCCCAGTAGATTGGCCATAGCATCTGAAAAGATGCCTTTTTAATTTATTTTCATTATTAGTAAGCAATTGCTCGTTTAGATGGCAGTATAACAGCTACCTTTATTTTTAGCTTTTGTTGCAGAAATATATCCAGTTAGAGTAATATCTTATAGTAAAAAAACTCCCACATTGTCTCAACTGTTCAAATCTATCTTTTAAAATACTGATATGCTTAGACTGCCCTCTACTTCATGGTCCTTTCCCCACAAGCCGCCCTGCATGAGTCAGTGAGGCCATCTGCTTCCGGTAAGATTTGCAGCTTCAGGAACCTTATGTAGGGTCACTGGATGGTAGGGTCTTTTTCAGTTTCTGATTATGATTGTTAAGAATTTATACTCAACTAAATGCTACCTATATTCAGCCAAATGTTAGCTCCTTCTTTAATCCACCTCTTCTACAACCTGTAGTTCGTGAATGGCCTTAAATACCTCTTTATACTTTCCAGCAGGAAGAGCAGCAATGTCCTTAGGGTTAGGATTTATATATCTATTTGGGTTTTCACCATCAGAGTGCAAAGAACTATACAGGAAACTCATATAGGTTTATCTTTTTAAAGCTTGCTTTTTTATCTCTTTTTTTTCCATCCCAAGCCCCTTTCTAGGGCGTAATCTACTCCCCAAAGTAAAAGTTTCTCACTCTGGTGGATCTTCTCAACTCGGGTTGGCATGAGGGGAGTACACGTGGTCCGAAAAAGTAGTCTACTCTGATGTCGATCCTATGGACAAGCATCACTTCCAAGACTGCACCACACCTTCCTTTTCTTCTTCTTATTTTATTGAGCGAGGCTGCTTTTGAGCAAGGCTTTTTACATTCTGCTTCTTTTGAGCGAGGCTTTTTACATTCTTAAAGACCACATCTGTGGCCATACCACGCTGAACTCACCCGACCTCATCTAAAGACCAAAAGCCCAGAAAGTGGTCAAGGTGTTTACATCACACCCAGGTCCCCCTCAGTTAACAATTTAGTCATCTCTCCACATCTGCCTTATCAATGATGAGAGTGATGGCAAATAGAGGCTACTTTTCCATGAAAGCATATTTTCAAGTGCTTGAAAAGTCATTGCCAGGAAGGGACTTTTATAATGCATAAACCAAGCTTATTCTTTGCGTTAAAAGAGTGTCCACTTTGCACCAAAGGCAATTGACATTTCAGAGGCTGGGTAGAACAAAGGGAGCAATAGGGATTGGCAGAGACATCAGAAGGAATATTTAGGGTTGAGCAAATCATTACCCTTCGGAGGGATGGAAAATGTCAGTGGATAGTGGACCTGAATGAGAGCATATGAGTTAGGAATGTAAATGCCAAATTCATCTTTCTTGTCATTGATTTGTTATTGGGAAATCCTGTAGACTTAGCAGTAATATACAGGCACTATTTGTGTTGATTTATTGAGTTGAAATCTACTAAATACTAGACAATGTCTTATGACATTGTTGAATGATGCACACGTTTTGTTTGTACAAATACCATTGGTAACCAATTTATATTTGAAAATCTAAAGCTGGTACCAAAATTTAGGGGATTTTTTTGAAAGTCTGTTGATTCTATTCTAATGTTGAAAAATAAACACAAATAATTGTTCCCTTCTACTTTTTAGGGTCCTAGCTATCTGTCCTTCTTTTGTAACATCTCCAGCCCCCAAAAGACACGCACACACACACCCCTGTATAGAACAGTTTTCTTATAAAATAATCCAAAATGGTGAAACATTTAGGCAGAGGATTGGCTTCTCTCTTGACTTTGGTTCATTAAGAAATAGGGATTTTAAAATTAAACTTCCCATGATAGAGATCTACAGATAGATTGTTGTGTTGATTTCTGGAGTGAGTAATATAAAAGAACTGATTATGCATCCAGTGTTGCTATAAATACGGCCTAACCTCGTTGGCTGAGATTTAAATGAATGTCACTGCATTTATCAGAGGCTATTTCTCTTTTAAAATGAATTTATGCAGATACTTGACATGTCCCAAATAGCATCTTCTGTTTACACTCAAGCACTTGGATTTTCATAGGTTATATATATAGAAAGGTGATTGAAAAGTTATCAGATTTGTAACCAACATCCAGTGAGTCATTTTGTAAAGATATGTCTCCAGTATTCAGTTGGAAGCAGATTTCAAAACTAATTTATCATTATATACTTTTTTTTCAATAAGCTTATTAATAATTGAAGGGTTTTCTTGTTTCTGCTGTTGTGATGGTAGTGATATGTATGTGTTTTTAATAGACAAGTAATTTTTCTTGGGTGTTTTAGTAACTATGTTAGACAGAGTTTTCATAGAAGAGTTAATATACTGGAAGTCCTTCAACTAACATGGGCTGCTGGGTCCAAGGTCAAGGAATCAGACAGCAGAGTCCTCCCTCTGGCAAGGCAGGTAAAGTCTGCCACAGGCAGCAAGCATCAGGGTGGGTCAACAACAGTCAGTAGCTCAGGAACTTAGCAGAACAGGCCCGGATGGGATATGGAACTCAAGCACTGCAAGGCAACAGGATCCACCAGCCTCAAACTGTGATGTATGAAACAGCAGCATGGTGAAGCAAGACTCTAAGGAGCCTCAAGCTCTAGCAACATGATCCATGGGTTGGCTTGACCCATAGGTAGTGCAGCTCCCAGGTTGAGGCAGAGACCAAGCTAAAGCAGCAGCATGCTGGTTTTATCACCAGAGAGCAAGAGAGATGGGGGTGGGCCTTGCAGAGCCATTTATCACTTTGCCCTCCAATCAAACTGCCACCTGATTAATCCCACATGTTCCTATTGGCCAGGCTGGCACAACAAACCTAACTGTCACAGCAACTAATGCAGTCTTATTGCCAACATGTTATGACTTCAACCAGTACTCTTTTATAGCCTCCTCTTGCCTCTTCCTACTTGTGCTCAGATTTATCTGGTTTGTTTGTTGCATGCAAACAAAGGGAAAATACTGAAGTTAGCAACGCGAAGCTGGAGTGAACAAATTCTTCAGTAACCAATGCAGGAAAGATGGATAATGGAACTCTGGTAGGACACAAAATGGTCAGTTGCCACAGAGAATCAACTTATATTTGTGTAAACAAATTGAAGGAATGGTTGGCCCATATATATGTAAAACCTGTCATTTATACTTAAATTGCAGTATATTTGTGATTTATTTGTTAAGATACGTGCAAATGAGATATGCAGAAACATGCCATCTACTTCATAGCAGACAAACTAGTGTAGGCCCCACTTATGTGAGAAACTAGACAGTTTAAAATGGATGCATGGGTCAAGTCTCTCTCTCTCTCTCTTTCATCCTCTAGTCTTTAGTAATGGGCTGACATGTAGCAACAATTGTGAAGATGATGCAGGACAAGGTTATGTTCCATTCTCTCATACATAGGCTCATTATGAGTTGACACACTGGATAACAGCGAATAACAACAGCTTTCTAAAGT